ACATTGGTAAATCTTTTCCGGGTTGCTTTCACCATGAGGTTGCTGAACTTATTTAAATATTTAAATGCTTTATGGTAATTTGAGCACATGGGCACCATCCAGCATTTTGATTGGTTGATTTGCGACTTGACCTATCTGGTCAATAAACACGTCTCGTGTGATGGATATCGTATATTGCGGCGGATATCGTATCGCATCGAGCGTTGACATGTAACCGAAATCATTCGCTTACGATGAAACTAAGTTGAATTTTACTTGCATTTCATAACAATTCAACAAATTTATTTTTTGTACGTTAATATAATCACTACTGAGTACTAATCAACAATTGCAACACTTCGAAAACAAGTAAGCTACCGTATCGTGATCATTTGCTGCTAAGCAATGCTTTGTTTTTATTTTAAACTTATACTTTATACTTTTCGTTACCAACAAAATTGAAAAAATATTGCATATTAAATATAGTGAGTATTTTTTGTTGTCATGTGAACAGTTTTTTGATTGACTGTAATTTTCCAACATTTCATGATGCCCATTTTAGAACCAAATTAAGGCCTTTCACTCCTCCTTGACGCCTATTTACAGCAATTCCAGGCACTGATTTGACACTGAAGTAGTGCTAGATGTTGATAACTTACTACAATAGGTTACACACTGTTTTTTCAAATTTACAGAACTTGTTAACTGGAAATATAAACATCAGCTGCAAATCAGAGGAATGATCGACAGATATTGCCCTCAATGTTTTCCATTTTTGCTACAATCTCAGGTACACCTAGACTTTGTTTGTTTGTTACCACCGAGAGTATCCTGCCAGGAAAGCGTGACAGCGTCCAATCCACGACTAAAAAATCTAACAGACAACGTTATATTATAAAACATTGCGACCGCGCATTCACGGACGGGAAATGCGACAAAAACTACTCCTGTATGTATGGCGGCAACCCTCCCCGAACGTGTGATCATGTGTTGCCAGTGATAAGCTTTTTAAAGCGATTATTTGGTGGCACATCAACCTTTTGGTTCTCATCGTCGAGAACTAATAATCGAACAACACCCATCCTACTTATGTATTCAATTTCATTATTGATATACTGGATGAAGTCTTCATTGGACATTTGTTGCAGGCACCTTTCAGTTATATACATCGGCGTGATACGGATATTTCCATAGTAGGAATAATGTACTTTGATCAATAATTCTGTCATGATCAGTTGGTCAGCTGGTTCTGTAAAATAACTCTTCGGGTAACTAACGTTCTTTATAGTGCCACCACTTTATGCGCCCCTCTCACTGAAATAACATGTGACACAAATTGAAGTATGAAACTAAGTTGAGAGCTTCGATCGTTGATTGGAGGAGAAATTCAAAACTAATGTACCGCCACTTTTATGGGCGGAGCTTTCTTCCGGTGTGCTTCAAATTGCAGAAATGCTATCTGCATTATTTGTAACAACTTCTGTAAATTTGAAAACAAAGTGTGTAACCTATTGTAGTAGGTTATCAACATCTAGCACTACTTCAGCATCAAATCAGTGCCTGAAATTGCTGTAAAAGATTATATGGCATCTTGCTTTTCGCCAGCCACGAAGGTCACACTAGACTAGCTTGATCGATACTGCCGACCATTCCGTGCATTTTTTATCGACGCACGACGACACGCAAATCAAGATAAGTATTGTCCTTGCAACAATTTTACGCAATACGTCACCATTGTACAGTGACTGATTTTAATAATAATATTATAATATTTATTAAACATTAAAACAAACTATGTAGTGAGTTGTTCTATGGTCGTATAAAAATAAACTACATTAAGATACAGTAAAGTTAACCAACTAAACAGAATGCTATATAATATTACAAACACATTTAGAATCACAATAAACTTGTACGATACAGTACAATACAATACTCTAACTACTATTGCTAAGGAGTGGAAAATCACATTCACATTAAAGTCATAACTATGGAAAGAATATTTTTAAATTTGGTGGAGCTGCTCATATATCATTTGCATACATTTTTCCCAGCCATCCGACTCGAGTAGTGATTGGTTTG